AATCTATATGTTCCCTTTCTAAGTTAAAGGAGGTGGGAGTTTCAGAGAGGGATCAGGGGTCCACTCGCATTAACTTAGGACCTCAGTGTGCGCAGCCGTTTAGCGCCGACCCAAAGTTGATTGAGGTGACATGGGACGACAGACATATGATGGTGGAGAGAGACCTTTGGCAGCAGTTTCTCTAGGCCCAAGGCACGTGCCCCCCCAAGATTTTACCAAGATATTGCCCTTGATACACATTTTAATCATAACTAACTTCTCACAACTGCTATTACAGGGTAATGTGGATTCCATAAGTTCCCAGAGGATTCACAGGAATTTTTTGTAACGTAACTCAAATGAGTAAGAAAATTTAGAAATAAAAGCTGTGCATATTAACTGATTTTTTAGATACCAATTTACAACTATTTTTTAACCGTCTTTCCATCCAATATCAATTATTTTCTTTTTAAATTTTAAAATAGATAATATGCCATAAATATCTTTTCCCTTTCCTTAATAATTCCTATAAATTTATTTCAAAAAAATTTAGGTATAATTATTTTTGATATATGTACTTTTCATTTTCCTGTAAATTTTCCATTTAGATAAAACTTTTGAATCTTATCCATTGTTTTATACTTTGAAATTTAAACATTGTTTGGAAAAAATACCTAATTTTTGTTAGATGTAATTGCATATGACAAATATCTCAATGAATTTAAGATACATTTTTGTATTTAGGTGATCAAATATAAATTTTTTATTTTATTTTCTTTAAAATTTCATGAAGATAAACATTCATTAAAATTTGGCTTCCATTTAAAAAACTTACCCAATTATAGATCAAACTCCCAATAATAGGAAAACTAGAAAGATGAAATAAGCTCAAATGAAATAATTTCTTGGATATCTTCTCATTTTCCTTGGATATCTTTGCTAAAACATTGTTCGGATAAAACGTTGTTCGTGCAATATCTCTTGTCTAATTAATAACAAAGTCTTCGTTTCTACTGATATGTTTGTGAAATATATATTTCAAGTATAAATAGGTAACAACCAAGTTAAGGTTAAAAATAAAACATAAATAAATACGAACATTGATTTCAGCTTTTGAACCATCGATAATCATGAGGCGTCATTGATGGCCAAGTCAAATCATCGATAGACTATAGGAAATAATCAAAGAAATAAAAATTAGAAGTCGAATCATTGATGGTCTACAATCAACAATCGATGATTGTAAGGACCATCGATGGACTATAGGCAACAATTACTGAAATCCAGAAAACATAATTTTGCACAATCAATGAACTACAATCAACAATCACTGAAATCTAGAAACCAGAATTTGCACAATCGATGAACTACAGTCAACCATCAAAGATTCGTGATCAACCATTGATAGTCGCGATGAGTTTTGGCAGATTTCTAGATTTAATCTCAGCCTTTCGCTAACCCGTTTGATCTCCTATTTGGACTTTGATTAGGATATCTCTTTCCTGTCCTATCAAGGCCTATTTAAGAGGAGATCGAAATTATGATAAACAACAAAGAAAACAGAGAAAAAGGAGAGATCTATTCTAGGGTTTTGAGAGAGAGGGGGGAATTTGATTTGAGAATTTACCCCATGAGCCTCGTTCAACTTTTTCTCATCATGCTCATCATCAAAGGATTATTTCAGAGAGGAGAAGTGTCATTTACATTCAACTTCAACATTGCTTCTTCACGAATCTTCATCATCATTAATTTGAAGGGCGGTTTGTTCAAAAGGCTGTAACATTTTTCTAGTTGCGCTTTGAATATTTTTGGGTTAGTTCTATATTTCAAACTTGTGAGTCTAACGACATACTCAAGCCAGAGTAATTGAGGTTGGCATACTCTGTTAGGTCTCATGTTTATGAGCCTACTATCTAATCTAGTTGTGAAGATTAACAAATAATTCCTAATAATGTTTGTCGAGTATTTATTTGCTTGTTAGGTATTCTACACAAAAATCCTCCGTTGGAGGTTGGTTGGAGTTGCGTTCACGATGATACTCAAAGGAGGTTGGCGGATATCGAAATGAAGCCGTTGTAATTCAAGTTAAGATCACAACATCGCTTCATCCTTGCTACCAAGACGATCTTATTGAAGATCATTTGCTTGGGTACATAGTTTTATAGTTTAGGCTTTACTTTATGTGTTTATACTTTAAAGCTCAAACTACACACATACACGTTTCATTTTATCATATTATAGGTTTTTGGGGGAAATAACGTATTAAAGACTTGATTACACTATTTTATATCTTTCCTCAAGTCTATTAATGTATTTTAAAAGTGTTTCAAAACTTGTTTGAAGAAATTTCATCAAAATCAAGTTTTAACAAGTTCGTGTGTTTTACCGATTTTCAAAAAAAATGTTCTTTGCATTAAAGAATTAATATAACTGTTGTACATCTTTTATAAAGTTTATTAATCCATTCAAAAGAAGTTTCAAACTTGTTTGAAATCATTTTGTCCAAAATCAAGTGTTTTGAGATTTCGTATTTTTGATCGATTTTGCAAAATGTTGAGTTTTAACAAACGAAAAATGATATTTGAAATTTTTTTTTGTAACATGTTTATTTTCATGTTTATAAACATTTTTTTCAAATTTTTATTCGCTAGTTTTAAACCTACTTCAAAGTTCAAATTCACTGTTTAAAACTGACCTTGAACATATTATCAGTTAATTGACAAGGTCATCAGTCGACTGATGAAAGTGGCTAGAATCATCAAATGTTTCTGCTTAGTCGACTGATGCACCATTAGTCGGCTGAAGCAGCCCATCAGTCAACTGATGGTGCATCAATTGACCGATAGGGTTTAAACAGCCACCAACGGTCAGCTCATCAGTCGACTGAACAGTACCATCAGTCGACTGACGACACTGTAATGACTATATTTCCAGATTGCTAATTTTCAGGGATTTTGTTATTTTCTTTGGATTTTTCTTGGTTTTGGGGCTTTGTTTTGTGATCCTATAAATACCCCCTTAATCTCAACATTTGGGGTCAACTAAAAAAAAAGTTTAAAACAAGTTTGTAAGTGTTTAAGTGTGTTTATATGAAGAGAGTTTCACAAGAGGAGGAAATCATTTCATTTCTTTTTGAGCTTCAATCTCACATCTCCATCACTCTCGTTTGTAGAGAAGTTTTGTAAACTCAATCTCTAGCTTTATATATGTTTATTGTTGATTATCATTTTCTTAAGCTAGATTATAAATTGAGTTTACATTTCATTTTACTCATTGATTGCACACACAACCTAATGAGCTTTTAGTATTTCATATTAAGTATAATTTGGGTTGTGATGAGTGCTTAGTTGAGTGTGTGCTTAATTTAATTCTCATCTTGTTTAGAGAACAAATTATCTTTACTTTTGCTAAATTATTGAGAACACATTGTAATACACAAGGACACTTAGAAAAATTGTTGGTGAGAGACGGGGTCAATTCTAAGAGGAGTGGCATCGATAGTAAATCCTAGGGACATGTTATAATTCCGAGAACTTGAGGAAGGTGACACGGGCTAGGCCAACACTTAGAGAAGTGTGTTATGTGATTGCAATTGTGAGAGTTATAAAAGTTTTCGGTGAACTTGAAAAACTGATTGTGTAGTTGATTTATTTGAGATAGTGGAGATTCTCCTCGAGGGTGAGGAGCACAGACGTAGGTCGTGGGTCGACCGAACTCCTTGATCAATTTCTTTATGTTTGCGTTTGTCGCTCTTATTGTTCATATCTTATACTCATTATTTATATCGCCCATTGTTTAATTGTATATCATTGCATATCTTATTGTATATCACTTTATTAGGATATATTAGTTAATAAGTTTTAATTGGTATTGAAATCGGATTAGATTAGCAAATACCCTATTCACCCCTTTCCCCCGCTCTAGGGTACTTTCATACTCAAGCCAGGTGAATTGAGGGTGACTAGTTAGGGTTAGGTTTCTTCTAGTCATTGTGAGGAGTTAGGTTAGTCGACTGGTTTCGAGTAGATTCTAGGGTCCTATCTGTAAAGCCTACTAAATCGGGTTGTGATTTGAAAGAACTTCTGTCATAGTGAAGAAAGTCAAACGCGAGAAGAAAGAATAAACATAGGCTTAAGATCAGATATACTATAAAAATCTCGTGTGTTCCTATGCTGATTTGTTTTTAATTTTTTGCATTTTATTTCTGTTGCATACTTTGAGTTCAGTCGAAAAATTGTAGTAATCTCATTCCACCCCCACCTAAGCATGCATTCTTGTTCCAACAATCTTGTCATTTCTTACTTTCATGTAAACAAGCACGCCCAACCTAAAAACAAAATCTTCCTTGCAAAAGGGCAAATTTTGACATGCATTTGTTTGCATGCAAGTGAAAAAGTGACTCGTTTTTTTTTTTACACTTTTAAGTGTTTGTTTGCATGAAGTCACATGAAAATGGAATAAAGGATTCATTATAATTTTGAAATTAAAAAAATTTGATAAAGTCGCTTGAAATGGAAAAAAGTGGACCACATTTAATTAAATGACTTTAACTATGATTATTTATAAAACCTATTTTTCCACATTATCTTCACACTTTTACTTCTAATAATAGTTTACTCTATTAAACAAATATTATATTTCACTTACGTACGTGAATATGAGATATTTTTGAAAGAAAACAAAAAGAGGGGAAAAACCTTCCATACCTTTAGTTCACTTTCAATTTGCAAGTACCTCCTAAATGATGGAATGGAGAGTACCCATTAATCAATCAACTAATATCTCATATCTATCACAAGCTACTCTCATGCCTAATTACCTAATGGCAGTACCGAAAACTTCAAAATTCATAAAATCAATCACACATATCATTGTCACTTTTCTAATATCTAATACTAAGTTTCTAATG